GGGCGTCAGGAGCAGCAAAAGTGTCCGGAGCGCCAAAAGCGTAAACAGCGTCAGGGATGTCAGGAGCGTCAAGAGGGTCAGGAGCCCCGAGAGCGCTGGGAGCGTCAGGAGCGTCAGGCGCGTCAGAAACGTCAGGAGCGTCTGAGCGTCAGGCACGCCAGGAGCGCCAGGAGCGTGAATGGCGTCCACAACTCGAGAGCCGTCGCTCAATAGGTCCTCACAACTCGGGCGCCGCTGCTCGAGACATCCTCATATCTCGGCGGCGCCGCTCAAGACATCCTCACAACTCCAGCGCCGCCACTCGAGACTCCCTCATAACTCGAGCGCCGCCGATCAAGACATCCTCACAACTCGAGCGCTGCCGCTCCAGACATCCTCCTCCAAAGTTTAGCTTCCCCCTCTCGCGGCATCCTTTCAACTCGGGCGCTGCCGCTCGAGACCTGGCGCGAGAGCGTCAGGGGCTTCAGAGGAATCAGGAGCAACAGGATCGTCATGCAGGATCGTCAGGAGCGCCAGGGGCGTCCACAACTCCAGCGCCGCCGCTCGAGACATCCTCACAAATCGGGCGCCGCAGCTCGAAAAACACTCACAGCTCTGGCGCCGCCGCTCGAGGCATCCTCACAACTCGGGCGCCGCCGCTCGAGATCTTAACCAGGCTGGGACAGCCGGAGGGGTAGACAGGCAGACAGGCAAGGGGGCAGTCACATCATGCCTCCTGCTGCTGCTTCTCCTCCTGCTTCCTCATGCTTCTTGCACCACCACGTATTGCTGTTAGCGTTCTATATATATATATATATCTATATATTGAGCCCTGTCCTGCTGCTCCTGCTGCAGCTGCCCTTCCTCCTCCGTGGTAGTCTTTGTCTCCTCTGCCTCCTCCTCATTCTCCTTCTCTTGCATGCCCCTCCTCGTCGCCCTTCTTCCCTGCTCGTCGCCCTCCTCTCCCGCTCCCTCCTACTTGTCATCATCCTCGCCCGCCTCCTCTGCCTCGCTCTCCTACTCCGCGGGCGCGTTTCCCCCTCGTCCTACTTTCGCCTCGAGCGGCGGCACCCGAGTTGTGAGGATGTCTGGCGCTCGAGCTGTGAAGATGTCTCGATGTCTAGGGCGGCGGCACTGGAGTTGTGGACGCCCCTGACTCTCCTGGCCCTCCTGACGCTCCTGGCGCACCTGACGCTCCTGACGCTTCTGACGCTCCTGACGCTCCTGGCGCTCCTGGCGCTCTGGCGCTCCTGAGGCTCATGACGCTCCTGGCGCTCCAGGCGCTCCTAACGATCCTGACGCTCCTTACGCTCCTCTGACGCTCCCGACGCCCCCGACGCTCCCTGACGCACCTGACGCCCCAGACGCCCCAGACGTGATTGCCGCTCCTGATGCTCCTGACGCTCCTGACCCTCCTGATGTCTCGAGCGGCGGCGCTCGAGTTGTGAGGATATCTCGAGCGGCGGCGCTCGAATTGTGAGGATGTTTCGAGCGGCGGCGCCGAAGTTGTGGGCATCTCTCGAGCGGCGGCGCCCGAGTTGTGAACGCCCCTGACGCTCTTGACGCTCCTGGCGCACCTCACGCTCCTGGCGCTCCTGGCGCTCCTGGCGCTCTGGCGCTCCTGATGCTCCTGACGCTCCTGGCGCTCCTGACGCACCTGTCCCACTCTGCGCCCCCACGCTCCCTCACGCCTGAGGCCCCTGACGCTCCTGACGCTGCGTCAACACTTTTTTCGGGGGCGCGCTGCGCCAGCTCTCCAGTGTTTTCTCTTCGATTACGGGTGCGTGCGACAACGTCGACGTGGCCCGAAGGCCGAAGGAAGTGGATCTGGGCACCACGTGCACTCGCACTGTGCCTCGCACAGTGGTCGGTGGTCGAGCGGGGCTCCAGGGTCTCCGACCCCCCCGGCAGGCAGGAGGCCTGCGCCGGCACGCCAAAAGGCGTGTCGTCATCTGACCCAGACGTCGCCCACGTGAGAATCGAAGTCCTCGCCTGGCCACGGAGCCCATTCGGGCATCTGTCGTGGAGCCCGTTCGGGCCTTTGTCCTCGCTTGTGCGGCGTGCTGTTGCGGCGCGTGGATGAAGCCCTGGCTTTTTCGGGGCTGCGCGTTTGCCACGTAAGCCCCAAGCTTGGGACTCGAACACTGCGTCCTTCAGAACTGTCCCATATCCTGCCTCCCTCCCTCCCTCCAACGCCTCCTTGCCTCCCCCGGGGGTGGGTAGCGGATCAGCTGCACACACCAGGTTTTCCTGGCGCCTCCCGGCACGCGTGAACTTGTTCATAGTGTGGCTTTCCAGCGGTCGAAGGGCCCAGACAGGGCCTCCAGACGCCGAACACGTCGAAAAGCCTCCGTCGGGCCTGTCTCATGGCCCAGGAGCTGGGCCCCACTGCCCCCGCCCCTCTCTGTGTCTCACCTGCTGCCCTCCGGCCCCCCCCCCCGTCGGCGGCCCGCTGCATCGGCGGGCTCCCCCCAGTCGGCGGGCGGCACAGCGTCGCTTACTCCACCGGGTCGTCGGCATCCTGCAGGGACCCCCCCCTTGTCGTGGTCGTGGTCGTGGTCGTTGTCGTCGCCTTCATCGTCTCGACGTGGTCGTGATTCGGGATCGTCGCCTTCGTCGTCACCGTGGTCGTCGTTGTCATCGTCCTCGGCTTCATCTGCGCGGTGGGGAGGGAGGATCCGCGAGGGGAGGGAGACGATCCCCAGAGCCCAGGCCTGTCCAGGGACGCGTTTGGCCTGGGAAATCGTAGTGAATCCAGCCGTCATCGCGCCGAGCCCCCCCGATGCGATAGCAAACGCGTCCCAGCATCAGCGGAGGTATCCAGCATCTCTTGAAATCTCGGGACGTCTCCGATCTGGGGAAGCCTCTTGAAGTGTCCAGAGACCTCAGGACGAGAAAAACCCCACAAATATCTATAACACCTGGGTTCTTCCACCGTGTATCTTGGCACGTCGAGGCGTGCAAGAATGCCACGTGCTGGTTGGTAGGGTTTCTGAGGATTCGAAATGAGCACTCCCCCACTCTCCCAGCACTTCGCTGCGTGCACCGCAGCTCCCCCTCCTCTGTTGGCTCCCTTGGAGGCTCGACGCTTCCCTCGCACTCTTCAAAGCGTCCCAGAGGCGCCCAAGGTGACCCTCAGACAGCCAAGGCAAGCCGAGATTGCCTCAAAGCCATGCAACATCTCCCATGCAATCCAAAGACGGCACATGATGCCTCACGACAGAACCCGAGATGGCCTCCAGACAGCCCAGGAGACCCCCAAGACGGCCAAAGAGCGCATCTATAAAATTTCCGGGATAGCCCAGAGATAACAAAACCAGTGACTTCCCTCAAGTGTCTGAAGAAATTTACATTCTCGCCTTTTCGGGTTTCCGGCAACTCTGGACGGCCCAAGAGGCATCCAAGATGTCCCCAAGACGGCCCAAGAGGGCCCCAAAGTGACACAGGAGGCCTCCATGATGCCCTCAAGTCGGCCCAAGAGAGCCTCTAGACGGCCCAGGACGGCCTCAGGAGAGCCCAAAACTGGCCCAGGACTGCCTTGAAGAGACCCCTCGACGATCCAAAACGGCTCCAAGAAGGCCGCAAGGGTCCTCGCAGGCGGGCAAGCAGGGCCCCAAGATGTCACAACAGAAATCCAAACGGCCCAAGAAATCCCCAAGACAGCCCTGCGTGGCGCAAGGGCCCCCCGAGACTGTCTAACCTGAAGCAGCCCCAAGACGGCACAATTGAGCGCCATGAGAGCTCTCACAAAAACAAACTCCTGAGGTGTCTCCGCATGAAGTCACAATCATCACAACACTGCACTCATCATCACAACACTGCACTCATCATCACAACACTGCACTCCTCCTTATCATCAATGTGCGTACACTCCGCTGACCCCTTGTGGGTCTCTAGGCGTGTGAGACTCCTCCCCCCCATAGCCCCCCCCCTTTGGACCCCAAACCGGCAATTTGACCCCCGCCCGGGTCTGCCTGGGACAACCACGGACGGAACGCGCTATGGGAACATAGAGGGCCCCAAAACGGCCCAGGACCCCAAGTAGGCCCCAAGACGATCCAAGAGGGCCCCAAATCGTCGAATGATCGTTCCAAGACGTGGACGTCGATGGCATCCAGGCGGCCAAAGATGCCTCCACAAAGACGGTCCAAGACGGCCCAAGAAGCCTCCAAGAGGTCCTCCAGGAGAGCCCTAAGAGGCCAAAATAATTGATGTGTTCTGAGGTTTTTGAAGGATTTTGGCATCTGCTCTCTTGGGGCATGCCGACGGCTCAAGACGACCCAAGAGGCCCCCAAGATCGCCACAAGATCGACCACGAGGCCTCCAAAATGGCCTCATGACGGCCCAGGATGCCCACAAGACGGCCCCCAGAGGGCCCCAACAGGCCTCGAAGACGGCCAAGATGGCGTAAGATGGCCTCAACATGGCTCCAAGATGGCCTCCAAGACGGCCAAGATGGCCTCCAACACGGCTCAGATGGCCCCACCCAAGACGGCCCAAGGTGGCCTCACGATGGCCCCAGACGGCCCAAGAGTCCCCGAAGAGGCCTCCAAGACGGCCCAAGAGGCCTCCAAGAGGGCCTCAGAGGCCTCGAAGACCCCTGGGACAGCTCCAAGACGGCCCACAAGCGTCCCAAGACCACCGAAGAAGCCCCGATGACGGCCCCAGAAGGCCCCCAGACGGCGCCAAAAGGAAGCCCACGGGGGGGAACCCGAACCCGCATTTCCAGCCTTCGGCCCCAGCACGCCCCCCAGGCTTCCTCAAGCAGCCCCCAACACGCCCCAGGAAGCCCCCAGGGAGCCCGAATAGAGCCCCAAAACGCTCCCAAGAACCTCCCAGGAATCGGACAAGCCTCGTGGAATGCAGTCCTGGACGCGCAGTACTTTACAGAGGGGTCGGCGGATATGGCATAAGCCTGTAGAATCTCTCTCCAACCCGCCTCAATGATCATCCAAGGATGGTTCTCATCCTCATCGGCATCCTCGTCGTTCTCCACATCACCCACATGTTGGTATGCATGCCCAACTCCAACACAGTCACTACGCGGAAGAACATGTCATATGTTACAGCTCCCCAGGCCTCAGGACAAGAGCTGCCACGCACTATGGTTTCCTGCCAATCAACGCCCAAGGTCCAAGGTGCTTCACTGGCACGGTAGAGGGACTTGCCGCAGGCACCTGGGTAGACGATCCCCGATCCCCCGTATCCAGCGCCAAGATGGCCCAAAACGGCCCAAGAGATTCCCACAACAGCCTCAAGGTAAATCAAGAAACCCCCAAGACGGCCCAAGAGGTATCCAAGAAACCCTCTGGGATAGCCTCATGAGACCAAAAAAACAAAGTGATCATCGGTTTGTGCACGATGTTGGGGTTCCCACCTGTTCGGGTTCCGACCGCCCAAGCAAGAAAGTCCAAAAAGCCTCCAAGAGGCCTCCAAAATAGCTCCAAAACAACCCGAGAGGTCCCAAACAGGGCCCCAGGTCGGCCCAAGAGGACCAACAAATCGCCCAAGGGACCCCACGGAGGTCCTCAAGACGGCCGTGAACCGCTCCAAGAGCTCACCGACGCGGCATAGAGAGGCTCCCAAGGCGGCATCCACAGGCGTCAGACTGGCCAAGAGCCCCCTAACACGGCCCAAGGGGCCCCAAGAGGCCCCCGATGAGGCCCCATTAAGCCCCCACGAAGCCCCCAACAGGCCCCCAACAGGCTTTCAGGAAGCTCCCAGAAGGCCCCCTGGAAGCCCCAAAAGGCCCCCCAAAGCATTTTCGTATCGTGTTCATGTTCTCTTCCTCCTCATCCTGCTCCTCCTACTACACGAACAAACATTCCCGGCAAAGCAACCTAACAGCGATGTGTATAAGCATATCTGGAAGCATTCCCTTTAAGATTCAGGTGAGAATCCAGTTGTAGAATTCTGCTGTTCTCGCAATCGCAGTCGCATTCGTAATGACAGTCACAGTGACAACGGCCGTAGGATCCAATGGAATCCTCAGGATTCCTAGGGATTCCTAAGGCATCCTTAGGCATCCTTAGGAATCCATAGGAATATTTAGGAAACCTTATGAATCCTTAGGAATCCGGATTCCTACGGATTCCTGGGGATTCCCAAGGATTCCTAGGGAATCCTAAGGATTCCTCAGGATTCCTGAGGATGCTTAACTATGCCTACGGATTCCTAAGGATGCCTACGGTTTCCCAAGGATTCCTAGGGATTCCTAAGGATTCCTCTGAATTCCTACGGATGCCTCAGCCAGCAGCCTCAGCCTCAGCCTGCCTCGGCTTGCCTCAGCCTCAGCCTCAGCCTGCCTCGGCCTCAGCCTCAGCCTGCCTCAGCCTCAGCCTCAGCCTGCCTCGGCCTCAGCCTGCGTCAGCCTCAGCCTGCCTCAGCCTCAGCCTGCCTCAGCCTCAGCCTCAGCCTCAGCCTGCCTCAGCCTCAGCCTCAGCCTGCCTCGGCCTCAGCCTGCCTCGGCCTCAGCCTGCCTCAGCCTCCCCTCCTCCCCCCCCCCCCCCCCCCCCCCCCATTCAGCCTCACCTTGTCTCAGCTTCGGCCTGCCTCGGCCTCATCCTCAGCCTCAGCCTCAGTCTCAGCCTCAGCCTGTCTCGGCCTGAGCCTGCCTCGGCCTCAGCCTCAGCCTGCCTCAGCCTCAGCCTGCCTCAGCCTCAGCCTCAGCCTCAGCCTGTCTCAGCCTCAGCCTGCCTCAGCATCAGCCTCAGCCTCAGCCTCAGCCTGCCTCGGCTTGCCTCAGCCTCAGCCTCAGCCTGCCTCAGCCTCAGCCTCAGCCTGCCTCAGCCTCAGCCTGAGCCACAGCCTCAGCCTCAGCCTGCCTCAGCCTCAGCTTGCGCCTCAACCTCAGCCTGCCTCAGCTTCAGCCTCAGCCTCAGCCTGCCTCAGCTTGCTTCAGCCTCAGCCCCAGCCTGCCTTGGCCTCAGCCTCAGCCTCAGCCTGCCTCAGCCTCAGCGTCAGCCTCTCAGCCTCAGCCTCAGCCTGCCTCAGCCTCAGCCTCAGCCTGTCTCAGCCTCAGCCTGCCTCAGCCTCAGCCACAGCCTGCCTCGGCCTCAGCCTGCGTGAGCGTCAACCTCAGCCTGCCTCAGCCTCAGCCTGCCTCAGCCTCAGCCTCAGCCTGCCTCGGCGTGCCTCAGCCTCAGCCTCAGCCTGCCTCGGCCTCAGCCTCCCTCGGCCTAAGCCTGCCTTAGCTCGGGCATTCAAAATATGGCACAGGACTGGTGTTCTGGGAGCACAAAGATCACGAAGGGGCCCACAGTTGGCTCCGGGCAATCAAAATATGGTACAAGAATGGTGTTCTGGGAACACGAAGGACACGAAGTGGCCTACAATTGGCTCTGGGCATTCAAAATCATGCCCACGAATGAAGTTCTGGGCACTCGAAGACCACGAAGTGGCCGACAGTTGGCTCCGGGCATTCAAAATCATGCCCAGGAATGGTGTTATGGGAAGACGAAGAACACGAAGTGGCCTACAGTTGGCTCTGGGCATTTAAAATGTGGCCTGGGAATGGTGTTC